TTTCATACAGGACAGCTGTCTCGTGGAGCCGTAATGCATTTTTGAAGCGTTTCAAACATGCGGGTGTCATACTGCTGCTGCATTGCATGTGGTCAACGGTCGACAGCTATGGCCTCACTTCCGAGACTTCATCCTCTGCTCGCCCCTAACAGGTGGCTGTCAAGCAAACTACTCAGCTACCCCATCGGTTCATTCGCCACCACCCACCCTTCGATCCTAGCCAGTGCGGGCCGGCTTATGAGTGGCAGAGGCATGGCAGAGTGTGGCGAGGCAGGGCAGAGTGAGGGCAGGCAGGGCAGAGTAGGCAGGGCGGAGGTATTGAGAAGATGGTACTGTTCTGTTGCCTCAGCTTAGCTCCAGCACCCGTTTCTTTCTCAGATTTCCAACCCCTGTTTGTGCTCGTGCCTGCTGTCCACCAGTGTGGTGTGGGGAGGGGGAGGGAGGAGGGAGGGTGGGGGGGTGGTGGGCGCGCGCGCGTGGTTTTATCTTTGTTTTTATTATTTTTCTCCTCAATTGTCGTCACGCGGCAGATGCGAGCGAGCCTGTTGTAGGTTCGTTGGGATGACATCAGGTCACTTCTCATCCTCTTATGGCTGCATGCTGCTGCGAACCGTTACCCTTCCTCCCTCACCCTTCCTCTCATCATGTCTGCGCACATCATTCCCCCGCTCACTGCTCTCTCCCTTGCCCAGTTGCGCTGTCAGACCTCATGTCATGGCACCATGCCTGCGCTCGCCACCGGTCTTATTAGGTTGGATTGGACCTGCCAACGGCCTCCTACACCGGTGTGACGGCACCTCTAACTGCCTCGTTGCGCCCACCAAGTGAACCACCATCAGCACGGTTGAAAGAGGTGTGGCAGAGTGTCTACTGTGGCACCAATGGTGTGCTGCTGCTATGCTGGGAGGCAGGAGGAGTGTGCACGGTGAACGCATCCGCACCCGTCACTGCCGGCACTTTGAGCTACTCACCCATCCTGTGCTGCAACAGGACCTGCGTGGGTGGAACGGCTGTGCCTGTGAAGGAAGACGCAGGTATATAAGGGGCACAGGACACCGGTTGCCTAGCTTTTGAGACGCCTCAAAAGTCGTCTCAGTTCTCGTGCGTTTTATGTGGAGAGAAATTGCTTGGAAGTGTTCTCGTCGTAACCTGCAAAGGTTACTTGTGCGTGCGTGGTTACTGAACCGATAAGATCGGTTGAAGACTCTTCGCGAAGGTACAGCACCCTGGGTTTACCCCCTTGCTTAGTTGGCGATTGCGTATGATTTGTAAACTGGGTAGTTGGTGTAAAATACTGAAGTTAGCTAGCTGCCGTCCAAAGCCTTTCTTTCTTGTGTAAATCAGTTTGTCGAAGTGTCTGGGAGCAATACTTGGAGCCCTGAGCCGCTCTGAATCTTGCCCGGCGCAGGCCAAAACCAGAACTTGAAATCCAGGCTTTAGAAGAGAGTGTGCTTGAGGTTACGAGAGAAAAAAAAGGTTGCTTCGCAACCCAAAAAGTTCAGGTGTTAGCCTAATAGGATCGAGTCAACACTAGTCAGCTAAGGGAATAAGCCTCTGTTCTCCATTACTTACATACACTACACATGTCACTCTCGTGCATTCTATGAGGGGGGTCAGGGCGGGGGCAGGGGGTGGGGGACCTTCGAATCCAAGTCAGTACCGGTACTATACATGCAGAAGCGTCACCACCATCTGTTCACCTGCATGATTAGTGCTGAAAAAAATATAGGCATCTGCTTCTATTCTCCTTTCCACTATACAGCACGAATGAAGGACTGCAAGGTGGATTGGGCAGTGATGTGGTAGGGCCCGTGAGATCATATGGTGCTCAAATCACCACTCCTGTAGAGCGCAAAGAAGGAGAGCAGCGGGGCAGCCCTGGCATCGTGAATGACGAGCCTCACATGCTGCGCTCTCACCGCTTCCAACCGAAACAGCCTCTTGCGCCCCACCGTGCTGCCCCTCGCCACCACCCTCCACTCGCCCGCCCTCCCCGCACTCCCCGTCCTCTCCAGCATGCTGCGTGCTGCCGCTTGCGGGCCATGCGATGTGTGGAGCGCAGGCTCACCCAGGCTCGGCACACCAGGCAGGGACGGCAGCACACCATCCTCGGTATTGCACCCGCCTGGCCCACACCCGCCAGCACCGGCACCACCAACTTGGGCCACAGGGGCAGCTGGAGCGGCGGCGGGTGCAGCAGCAGGGTCTGGGTCGATCACCTCTACAGTGAACGATTTTATTCTCTGCCCATACGCCACAGGCTCCTCCAGCCGAACCACATGGAAAGTTTTTCCCTGCCCGAGGTCGAACTCAAGAGTAGCAGACAGCACCCCATCCTGAGCCGCCCAGAAGGTTGCATCTCCAGCACTCAGCACGTTCTCAGGCCCGTAATCACACCGCCCTCTCCCTCGCACCCACCCCCCCACCATCCCCATAACCCCATCCCAAACCATTCCCTTCGTAACCCCTCTCCTCTCCTCCTTCCTTCTGCCTCCACCCCCCTCGCAGCCATACACGCTGCTGGCGAGCACGCGAGCACCGGCGCTGACGTCCTCCTGGAACAGCACTTGCAGCGCGGGGCCAAACTGTCCCACGCGCTGCACGTCCTCCCCATGCAGCAGCCCCGTGGTGTTGGGCGGCACGTTCAGCAGCAGCGCACACCCGCGCCCCACCGAGGCGAAATAGAGGTCCAGCAGGCGGGCGAGCGGCTTGGGGCGCTCTGAGGGGTGCCAGAACCACCCCGGGCGGATGGACACGTCACACTCCGCTGGCATCCAATCCGTGCCCGCCACGTCACCGTGGTTCAGGTAGCTGCAGGTGGCGGATGGGTTATGGGTGGTTAAGGAGGGTGGGATGTGGGGCTGTGGGGTTGGGATGGCATGTATGGCTCAACGGATGCATGGAAAGCCACGGTGGTGCACATGGGGTGCACATGGGGGTGCACATGGGGTGCACATGGGGGTGCATGGATGAGTGGCTGTGGAACCAACAAACAGGGCAACGCCGCTTCACCATGCACCACCCCCCAATCACCCCAAATGCCACCCGAGTCACCCTGTGAGCACGCACTGGGTGTCCCACCCCTCCAGCGTGAGCTGGCTGCCGTTCACCATCCCCCAGCACGCCTCGCCCGCCTCGCCGCGCTCGTTGCCCGCCCACCGCAAGTCGGGGCCCTGCGCTGAAAACACACCGCTGCTGCCGGCTGCAGCTGCCGAATGAGAGCCTGCCACGTGGCAGTGTGGTAGGTCATGGGGCGGCGGTCCCCCTTGGCGCCGTCCAGCCACACCTCCGCCACGGGCCCGTAGCTGTGGGTGGTAGGGCGCAGACAGGAGGGGCAGGGGAGGGAGGGCAAGGGAAGAGCGGCGCAGGTGGCTTGGGCGCCGTCCAGCCAGCCACAGCTCCGCCACGGGCCCGTAGCTGCAGTGCGGGCGGGCAGCAGGGCGAGGCGGGAGGGGCAGGGGAGGGTGGCGCAGGTGGGTGGAGGTAGGCTAGGGCATGGCTTGGGGCCGAGCTGCTCCTCCTCTGCGCGTGCTGCATCGCACCTGCACCACGGGAGATAGTGGAGCGGCGCTGGTTGTGGGGAAGAGAGGGGATGCGGGAAGAGGGGGGATGCGGGAAGAGGGGGGATGGGGAAGAGGGGGGATGGGGGAAGAGGGGGATGCGGGAAGAGGGGGGATGCGGGAAGACGTAGAGATGATGCGGACAATGAGAGACGAGAACTGTAGATTGCAAGTTGTAAAAAGAAAGAAAAAGAGAGAGAGGGAGCACGTGAGGGAAGAGAAGAGCGGGGAGGGTGACAGGCAGCAACGGAGAGAAACACAAGGAGGGAAGGTACGGTGCAGGCGAGGGTGGTACAGGAGTACAGTGAGAGGTTGAAGGGGGAAAAGGGAGAGGAGTTTGTTTGGGGCGGCAGGAAAGAAGAGCAGGTGTGAGAAGGGCAAATAATTGAAATGCAGTGAACACATGCCCTTTCCATCCGTCCCTTCACCACGGCCCTCACCACGGCCCTCACCACGGCCCTACTGCTCACACGCATCTGCCCAGCGCTCATACGCCCACCGCATCCATCACGGTGCCCCGCTCCCCATCCCCAGCCCCCAGCATTTGCTCTCCACACCCCCCACCCTCCCCCTCCCCACCACCACGTGAGCACGCCCCATCCTCCCCTCTCACTCACCGAGTGAGCAGCTCCCTCAGCTGCCCCTCGTACAAGGCGTTGTACGCCGCACTGCCCTCCTCATACGCCCGCGCGTTGCGGGTCCCACGGCGACAGATACAACCCCAGCCCCACTCCCGCCGCCCGCGCCGCCGCCGCCACGTCAGCAACGACGTCACCTTGACCGGCCTTCCAGGGCGAGCGGCGCACAGAGTGGTTGGTGAGCGCCGAGGGCCACAGGCAGAAGCCGTCGTGGTGCTTGGCTGTCAGCACCACCAGCTGGGAGATGGGGTGAGGAGCGAAAGGCGAGAGGGGAGAGAGGCGCATGAAGGGTGAGACGGTTGAGGAGCAGCACCAGAATTGGTGAAAGCGGGAGGGGCTTGTGAAGCTTGGGTGGGCTCACAAGAAGTGTGGGGGTTGTGGGTATGTGTGGGGCAACCATAAACTGGCAGGTGTGGGATACAGACATAAGGTATGCAGCAGGGGACACACGACGTGGGGCAGGTGTTTGTTTGAACCACCTTCCCAGCACTAACAGCAGCAACAGCAGCAGCACGCCTGCAAGCGTCGCGCGGGCTCCACAGCGCGACCTCTCCACGCTCGCCTCCTCTGCCGCGTGATCCCACCGCCCACAGCTCCAGCGACAGCCGCTCACGAACCCCCCCCCCCCCCCCCCCTCCCTCCACCTCGCACGCTCTCCCCTCGCACGCTCTCCCATCGCGCGCTCTCCCCCCTCGCGCGCTCTCCCATCGCGCGCTCTCCCCTCGCGCGCTCCCCTCTTGCGCTTCCCCCTCCTTCGCGCGTTCCCCCCTCGCCGCCATCACCTGCGTCACTCGGCCGCCCCCACCACCACCGTTACGAGAGACGCAGGGAGAGGACGGTCTCTCCCAGCGCGCACGGCTACGAGAGAGCGGGGCGCACCTCAAGGCCCAGCGCGTTGCGCGCACCTGGAAGCCGGCGGCCTTGACGGTGTCGACCCACTGCGACGCGTTGAGCGCCGCCGGGTTGAACAGCCGCGGGTCCTCGCGCCCCGTGCCCCACTCGCGGTCCGTGAACGTGTTCATGCCCACGTGGAAGAACGCCGCCAGCTCAGCACGCTGACGTGTCAGCTGGCGCGCCGTGGGGATGGGAAGCAGCGGCGGGGGCGGAGGAAGGGGAGAGGAGAAGCACGCGGAGAGAGCGGGGAGGGCGAGGGACAGGGAGGAAAGGAGTGAGGCGAGTGGGGGAGGAGGGCTAACGCACGCGAGCGCGGGAGGAGGAGGAGCAGCGGAGCGGCAAGAAGAAGAGAGAGCGCGCGTGGGCGGTGGCGAGGATGGGGGGGGAAATCGCCCATGCCGGCGCGTGTGGCGTGCGCGACAGGGAACGGCAATGGCGGAACTAGAAGGGATGATAGGAATGGGAGGGGCAGCAGCACATTATCAAACGAATTTGCATGACAGATGTTCCCGACATTGGACACTCGAATACTCGGTGTCAGCTCTCACATTTACTTCTGTGACATTTTAGTGAACAGTACACTGGAAATTTGTGTCACAAGAACCACAATCAATTCACTTTTCCTTGCCTTGCCTCGCATCACTTCTTCAACGTGTACCAGTACGGTATTAGAGAATCAGAATATCATCACTTTCCATTCTCCTAATAACCTCCTCCCTCCTCTCCCCTGCAGCGCCACCCCCCTCAGGCCCCCTTGGCCCTCCTTGCGGAAGACAAACACGCAGTAGAGGTAAGCAGCGTCCCACTCGTCCGCCGTCATCTCCTCGCGCCACCGCTCGCCCGCAATGCGGCGCAGCAGCGACGCGTGCGGCTCGACGGCGGCGTGCGTCTTGATGAAGGTGTGGAAGTTGGCGTGGTAGAGTGCCTGCAGCCCGTACTCGCCCGCCAGGCGCTGCAGGAAGGCGAACGGCACGAGCCACTCGGGGCAGTCCACCGCGTCCTCCAGCCGGAACTCGTACCGGATGCCGTACGGCCGGGTTGACGGGAACTTCTTGTCTGCGAACTCCGGGGCGAATTCTATCGAGTAGACGGAGTTGCCGAACCTGAGGTTCGGCGAGGCTCGTAATTTCTGCACGAGCACGTTGGCGTCGGGGATGGTGCCGATGAACATGCCGCCCGGCCGCAGCAGCGCCGCGATGTTGCGCAGCCCGCAGCGAGCGCGCTGCTCGGTCTCGAAGGAGTAGTGCAGCGCGAACTGCGTGGAGCAGATGTCAAAGGGCGCCCACGGCAGCAGCTCGCGGTCCAGCGCCACGCCGAAGCAGTCCGCACACGCCAGCTTCGCCGGGAACCGCATCTGCCGCCGGTCGCTGTCCGCCCCGTCTCCCCCGGCGAAGGAGCGGTGCGAGTCGCCGTTGTAGCGCGCCATGGCGTCGTGCACGGAGCCCTCCGCCACGTCCACTCCGAGGTAGAAGCCCACGTTGACGCGCGCCCACTTGGTCAGGTCGCCGCCCTTCCGCGCACGCCAGGTCCAGCACGCGCGCGCCACGGGCGGGGTGGGTGTGGAGGCGGATGAGCACGGACTTGATCCAGTTGTTGAGCTTCTTCAGGTGGATGATGGGACTCGCCTCGCGCTCGTGCCGCTGCTGGTTGTCGCGCCGGCTGTAGTGGTCCGCCACCACGCGCACCAGCAGCCCCTCACCCTCCGCCCCGCCTGCCCCGCCCTCACCTGCCTCCATCCGCTTCGCCGGCCGCTCATCCCCCTCTGCTGCCTCGCCCGCGCCTCGCTCCTTCCGCTTCACGCCACTCGCATGCTCCTGCTCCCCCCCCTCGTTTACTTGCCACTCCTCTCCGCTTCTGTCACTCCCCGACCCGCCTCCCTCGCCGTCGCTGGACTCGCTATAGTCACTCCCATCGTCCTCGTCAAAGTCCAGGGTCACGCCCAGCCCCGTCCCCCCATCCGCCATCCCCCCCTGCTCGCCGCCCTCGCGCGCATCACCCTGCGGGTCTCGTCCCGTCGACTCCTCGACACCGCTGCCCTTCACATCCCCGTCTAGCCCTTCCCCGTCATACCCGCCTTCCTTCTCCTCCTCTCTCTCCCCATTGCCTTCCCTCCTCTCGTCCCCAGCGCCTCGATCTTCACTCTCCGCGTCGCTGTGCGATGATCGCGACGACGCCGACGACCTAGACGACTGCGACGACAACGATCGCGACGACCGCGACGGCGATTGCGACTGCGAGTCGTCGCGACTGGGGGAGTCGCGGCGGTCCGTGCCGGCCGGAGACGCGGCTTCAGCGGAGTCGTTGCCGATCGCCTCCGCGGCGCCGTTGGCGGCGTGGCGGGCGGGCTCCTCCCAGTCGTCGGCGTCGCTGCCATCCTCCATGCTCGTGCTGGAGTGAGTATGCGTGGAGGGGTCGTGCTGCTGCCTTGGCGGCCAAGGTGGGGCCCACCTCTGCTGTTGCCGGCCATGCGTCGTGGGAGGGGGAAGAGGGAGATGGGAAGAGGGGGGAGATGGGCAAAGGAGAGGCGGGGAAGATGGGAGGTGAGAATGTGAAGGGGTCGCGCTGCTGCCTGTGCGCGCTGCTGCCTGTGCGCGCTGCTGCCTGTGCGCGCTGCTGCCTGTGCGCGCTGCTGCCTTGGCCGCCAGCCAGCCATCCTGCAAGGGGGGGAGGGAGTGTGAGAGGATGGGGGGAGAGAGGAAACGGGGAGAGGGGAGGAGAGGAGTGCACGAGAGGGGAGAACGGCATGAGAGGGGCCACACCACTGCCAGGGTGCGTGGTGCTGCCGTGCTAACAAGCACCAGAATTTCCGGCGCGCAGAGGGAGAGGGAAGAGAGGCAGATGAAAGCGTTTGAAACGCATCCCTTGCCCCCATCACGTCTTCCTTCCTTGCTGTGGCGGCCTCACTGTCTTGGCCTCACTGTCTTGGCCCTCATTTGCACCCACAACCACACCTCCCTTCTCACCGTCACCTCTTCCTCCCTGCACTCACCGTGGCCTCTCTTCCCTCCCTGCACTCACCGTGGCCTCGGTGTCCTCTCTGTATTCCACATAGTTGCCCTCGGCATCAAAGTACCCCTCCTCGCGCTCCTGCTGCAGGTTGAACGGCTCCATTGCCTCCTGCTCCTCCTCCTCGCCCTGTCACCATGCCATGAGCCCATGCGCCCATGCCATCACACCACCCAGCACACAGCACAGCGCAGCACACAGCACAGCGCAGCACACAGCACAGCGCAGCACACAGCACAGCACAGCACAGCACAGCACAGCACGGCACGGCACGGCACGGCAGGGCATGCCAAGCAGGGCAGAGCAGGAGAGGAAAGAATGCGGGTGAGGGTCAACCAGCTTGGAGCACGGCACTCCTTCCTCCCCACTGCCAATACTCCCCCCTCCCCACCGCCAGCACTGCCAGCACCGCTTGCCCAGTGAACCGTTTCTGAGACGCATTCACCCCAACCGGCCCTACCATGAGGCTCACGGCACTCAACACCCCTGTGATTCACTTAGCCCCCTTCCCTCACCTGTCCAGTGTGATCACCATCCCAATCGCCCCCCCCACACACATATCTATTCTATTCCCTCCTCGCTTCCCCCACCTTCCCATATCTATTCCCTCCCTCGCTTCCCCCACCTTCCCTTTCCCCCCGCCCCCCCTCCTTCTGTCCGTGCCCTCTCTTTCTGCTCCCCTGCTCCCTCCCTATCCTGTTCCTCCTCCCTCTCCCTCCCCTCCTCCCCTCCTATCCCCTCCCCTCTCCTCACTCCCCTTTCTCCTTCCCCCCTTACCCTCCCCCCCCCGTCCCCTCGCCCCGCACCTGGAAGTCCTCCTCGGCGCGCGCCACGTCCTCCACGCCCCCGAAAGCAGTGTCTCCCCACTTGCTCTTCCCCTTCTTCCGCTGCTGCGCGCGCGCCTGCGCCGCCACGCGCGGATCCGCGGAGCCCATCAGCGCCGCCGCGCCGGGCTCCGCGCCGAGGTCGTCGAGGACCATCGCGCTGACGTCAGCGGCGGCTGTTAGGGTTGGTTCGCCCAACCACGGAACCTACGGCGCGATTCGGTGCGACGGCGAAACGGTGGAATCAGCCTACGGCGAAGACTAGAAGCTACGGCGTGAGAAGCGGGAGAGAGAAATCGGGAAGAAACGAGAGAAATGGAGGAAGAAGAGTGGAGAAGTATCAAGAATGAGAATCGACGGGGGGAAAATGTGGTTCGAGACCAAGGCGCATTCGAGAAGGTTCAAGATTCGAACTGAAGGAGTGTTTGGTGCATTCGGTTCGGTTTCCGCGTGCGACTCGCGGTGAAACGAGGCGCGCGCGAGATTGCTTGGGAAAGAAGTTACGTTACGAATCGCATTTTGTACCTTGGTTGACTATAAAACTGCTGTACTCATTCTGGAAATCATAACATTGACAACATTGAAACAAACCACATTCCTTTTAATTGGACCAGACTTCAACTTCAAGCAGAGCTGCGCATATCATTGGATTCGTGAGATCGTGGAGAACACGATAAGCAATAGCAAGTAGACTAGTGCTGACTAAGGCGTTTACGATCCTAAGAGTGGCGGGCGCGCCCTTCCTTCTTCGGCTTCTTCTCCGGCAGCACCTCGCGCCGTAGCCTGGCGCCCGCACCGCATGGGCGGGGCGGGGGATGGAGGAAAAAGAGGAGGGGTCAAGGGGGGAAAGGCGGGGTGCGGGGAGTGGTGGTGACGATTGCGTCGCAGGCGAACGGAAGTGTCGCATGGACAAGAGCGACAATAAATCGCGCGGAAGCTTCGCGAGGAGGGGGGGGAGCGGACGGGGAAGGCGCGCACTTGGCGGCATCGTCATCATCGTCGTCGTCGTTCCCCGAGAAGCGCACTTCCTTCTTTTGCTGCGCCTCCTTGCGCTCGTCGCCCCTGCCCGTCCCCGCCGCCATCTGCTCCATTTCGCTCTCGCCAGACATTGGCCCCTTCAATATGGGTGCATTCTGCAGCCGCAAGTTCAGATTCGATAAAGTGCAGTTTAGATTCCCTTATCGAGAGAATGAAGGTTGTGTGTGACGAACGGGGAGCAACGCTTCCTTCGAGCTAAATGTTCGCATTACAGGATCAACTTCGTGATCGTTAAGTTGAAGACTCGAATAGCAGAATCTGGTGTTTCAGCAAAAAATTAGATTGCATTTCGCTATATACATACATACAACTTCAAATGATGTGGAAAAATTCACAGCATACAGCTGAGCTCATACCACAAGTACAACGCACAAGCGTTGAGTGAGTGGGCGACTTACCTATTGCAGTTTGCTCCTCCATGTGCAATCCCACATGACAGTAGCACTAGGGCTCCCATGACAGACCTGTGTTGAGTCCAGTCCAGTCCACACAAGGCAGATCAAACAGCCCAAGCCATAAAGTGTCATATAGACCTCACGCATCATACTGCACTCGGGTCGCCACTCCTGTAGAGTGCAACGTAGGAGAGCAGCGGGGCAGCCCGCGCATCGTGAATTACCACCCTCACATGCCGCGCTTTCACTGCCTCCACCCGAAACAGCCTCTTGCGCCCCACTGTGCTGCCACTCGCTATCACTCTCCACTCGCCCGCTCTCCCCGCCCTCCCCGTGCACTCAGCATGCAGCGCACTGCCCCCTGGGCGCCATGCGGTGTGTGAGCCGCGTGCACACTCCCGCCTGGCACACCAGGCAGGGGGGGCACCATCCCTGCCATTGCACCCGCCTGACCCACACCCGCCAGCACCAGCAGCACTGACTTGGGCCGAAGCGGCGGCTGGAGTGGCGGCGGGTGCAGCAGCAGGGTCCGGGTCGAGCACTTCCACTCTGAACGACTTTATCCGCTGCCCGTACGCCACAGGCTCTTCCAGACGCACCACGTGGAAAGTTTTCACCTGCCCGAGGTCGAAGTGGAGAGCAGCCGACAGCACCCCATCCTGAGCCGCCCAAAGCTGCCATCCCCCTCCCTTAGCACGTTCTCAGGCCCGTGTCAAATGATATATGTATTATATATGTGTAGGCTGTAGTGGGGTAGCCAATATGGGGTACAACCCCATTAGGGTTTCATACTTGTACCAAACTCCTGCTAGTTGATCCATTCCTGTCTCTAGTTTCTGACATGGTATCAGAGCGAAAGAGTGCATGCCACGAAGGCGAAGCAAGGAGGGGTGACTGCTACTTGTGTGTGCCGCGTGACCCAGGTATAGACCCAGGTATATCGCCTGCAACTCTAGGTGCTAGTGCGTCTGCTCTCTCTGGGTGCTGCGTCTGGGGGTACTAAGCCTAAGAGTACTGAGTCTGGGGGTGCGGCGCCTGAGGGTACTGAGACTGCTGGTGCGCGGTCTCCTTGGAGTGGCCGCCTTCGTCCGCGTGCGCCTCTCTCCCCACAGCAGCTGCACGAGTGGTACACTCGCCGTCAGGGTCGCGCTGCTGGTGGAGGTGGTTCTACTGACGTCGCTGGAGCTGGGAGAGGTACTGGTTCCCTGTCTACAGGAGGTGCTGGTGTAGCTGCTCCCGAAGGTGCTCTAACTGGAGGTACTGGAGCTGCTGGGGCTGGAGGTGCTGCGTCTGGGGGTGCTGCTGCTGGAGACACTGGGACTGGAGGTGCCGGTTCTGGGGGTGCTGCTGCTGGAGACACTGAGACTGGAGACCTAGGGACTGGTGGTGGTGTTGGTTATGGGGGTGCTGCTACTGGTGGCGCTAGTCCTGGAGGTGCTGGCGCTGGAGGTGCTGGAGCTGCTGCGGTGCTGAAGCTCCTGGCGGTGCTAGAGCTGCTGGTGGTGTTGGTGCTACTGGCGGTGCTAGAGCTACTGGAGGTACTGGAGCTGCTGGAGGTGCTGGAGCTGCTGGAGGTACTGGAGCTGCTAGTGTTGGTGGCACTACGGAGCCACGACTGTTCTTCGCTCCGCCGTCTCTGTCGTCTCTACCACCGTCTAACACTGTACTTCGTCAGGTTCTTACACTCCCGTTGTCTACTGGTCTTCCGTTACAGCCTGGCTCCTAGCTGCCTGCTCCTTCTCCTTACACTGAGCAGCCTGGTAGTCGTGTTGCGCGTCGTGAGCCTGCGTCGCGTCCTGTCTCGCCTGTTCGTGCTGTTCGCACTGGTCGTACTGGTCGTCGTGTTCCTCGTCAGCGTCCACGGCTTTCCCCGGCACACACCACATGATTCTGCGTCCTTCCTCTGCTCCGCAGCGTGTTCCTCTGCCGTCTCCTCCTACGTCTTCTCTGCCTGACGTTCCGGACCCTGAGTCTGACCAGTTTCGTGCCGCACACCCAACTGTCACGCGTCTGTTAGCCACGGTTGTCACTGACCCGTCGTCTGATTCTGCTGCTGCGTCTGCCTTAGTCGCTGAGCTTGTTGACTTTGCTGCTGCCTATCGTCTAGACTACGCCGCTAGTCTTGTTGCTGAGTCTGAGTGTGTCTGTCCTCCGTCCGTCGGGGGTGACTGTGATCTTGGCACGGACGTCCTTGAGGACAGGCACGAGGACCTTGAGTGTCTTGCAGCCGCTGCGCCTCATCTCGTGGCCATGCTGCTTGCCCCTGAGGGAGACCCGGATGCACCAGACATCCCGACCCCGCGCTCTTACGCTGAGGCGATCGCGGGTGAGTACTCCTCTCAGTGGCAGACAGCCATGGACGCAGAGATGGCATCCTGGAAGTCCACAGTCACTTACGTCGACGAGGTTCCTCCTCCTGGGGCGAACATCGTCGATGGCATGTGGATTTTCAGGGTGAAGCGGCCGTCGGGTTCTCCGCCTGTCTTCAAGGCTCGTTATGTTGCTAGAGGCTTCAGTCAGCGTGAGGGAGTTGACTTCTTCCAGACCTTCTCCCCTACCCCGAAGATGACCACTCTTCGGGTGCTGCTGCACGTTGCCGCTCAGCGTGACTACGAGCTTCACTCTCTTGACTTCAGCACAACCTTCTTACAGGGCAGCCTGCACGAGGAGATCTGGTTGCGCCGCCCACCTGGCTTCACTGGGTCGTTCCCTCCTGGCACCCAGTGGAGCCTCCAGCGGCCAGTCTACGGTCTCCGCCAGGCGCCTCGTGAGTGGCACGACACACTGAGGATGACACTTGCGGCTCTTGGTTTGCTCCTTCGACTGTAGACCCCGTCGCTGTTTCTGCGCACCGACACTTCGCTGCTGCCGTTCTACATCCTCGTGTACGTCGACGACTTGGTCTTTGCCACTGCTGACACTGAGGCTCTCGCCCTAGTGAAGTCGGAGCTGCAGAAGAGACACACGTGCGCAGTTACCTTGGCTTGCAGATCACCCGGGACCGAGCACGCCGCACCATCACACTGACTTAGTCACACATGGTGCAGCAGGTCCTTCGGCGCTTCGGCTTCACCTGGTCCTCCGCACAGTCCACTCCTCTTGCTACAGGTCATTCGCTCTCAGCTCCACCTTCGGACGAGTCCGTAGAGTCGAGTGGTCCTTACGTAGAGCTAGTGGGCTGCCCCACGGCACCCCCCTTAAACCCTAAACCCTCGGCTCCCACACACCCACCCCCCTCAGCGGCAGCTGCAGCAGAAGAAGAGGCGAAGTGAGGAGGAGGAGTGACTGTGAGAGGAGAAGAGATGGGAGGCGACTGCTGAAGTTGCAAACACACCGGCCACAGGAGCGGCTGGCTCAGTTGCTACCGGAGCAAGGGCCCCGGACTACAGGAGTAACAGGCTCAGACAGGAGCAACGGACCCACGGGCGACAGGCGCAGCAGGCTCTCTGGGCTACCAGCGGCAAGGGCCCCGGACTACAGGCGCTGCGGACGACAAGACTGCTACCTCCACTCAAACTCCCCCAACTGTTCCACCCCCTTTCACACACCCCCTGCTGAAACCCTAGCTCCACTCCCACGGCACCCCCCTTAAACCCTAAACCCTCGGCTCCCACACACCCACCCCCCTCAGCGGCAGCTGCAGCAGTGGGAGACGAAGGAGGAGGAGGAGCTGCAGGTTACCCACACCGTGCACCCCCAGGTCCGCCACCCCCAAACCCTAAC